CCGGAGTGTCAATCAAACTTAACAACTGACCAATCAGAACAACGCTAGGAATGCGCGCCGTCTTACAAACACACGTGTTGTCCCACAAACGCACGTGTTCGCGTATGTTTTAACACTGCCGTCATGTGGGACCTTAGCAACAATATCCAAGGGGCGGAGCTTAGCGGAAAGGTCCATTAAACACGAGGATGCACATCTCTGGCATCGACATTCTAGGCGCACGTGCGTCCCTACACGCTGAACGTCACAAAAATCATAGCAACCAGACCATAAACCGGCCGTCAGCGTACGTGACGATTTACCCACGCGCGTGTTAGTTGCCTTGTTAGTCACGCGTCTTGCGGTGATTACAAAGACCTAATGATATTTTGCACTAACATTCGACTGAAACATGTTCTTCATTTCAACATTAATTTTACCAAAATTGTGGTGAATTGTCGTTCATGAGACTCACTTTGCAGAAAAAAATTAATGAATGTTCTATATATACTCAAATTGTTCGTTTTCGGCACCTTATGCCAACATTGTCAAAATGACAGATTAATGTTACATAAGAATATGAAATTTTATCAAATTCGTAAATTTTAAATTGCTATTACTTTTCATTTTCTTGGTCAATTTTCACAAATCAAATTGTAGTTTATAGAAGCATTTAACAAGCTCGCGGTCAAAAAAAAAAGAGCAGATGTAACAGACATTGCGAAGTACCCAAAATTAATAGAATATAAACTAAAACCATAAAACGAATGGCACGCATAGACAAATGATTGACGGCTGTAATCGCAACTAGTACTACTAGTACGCCACGCACAAGTTCACACCACTCGATTAACGTTACGCTAGCGTAAGGCTATGTTCAGACACAACGACTTACGCTAACGTAACGTTAATAGAGTGGTGTGAACTTGTGCGCGGCGTAGCGAACGCCAGTATTATCGCGCAATCACTGGCGTAAGGTAATCCAACAACAGACCCCAGATTAGCGTGCGCCACTGATTTTCGACAGTCACGCATCGGTGATTTTGAACTCAGCCAAGATTTGACCAATCAAAATAAACCTAGATGTAAACAGAAAATAAAATGCGTAAATTTCGAATTAATTAATCGCCCAGTCTGGACACCTCGCTAGTTACGCCATGGATTAACGTACGCCCGGCGTTAGATACGCCTTGGCGTATCTCACAGTAAATGAGAGACAGGTTATAGGCCTATGTGTAATAACTGTTGGGTCTAAATGAAATAAAGGTCTTTAGTATAACAATTTTTGGGGTCTTCAAATGCTAATGTGTAATAGTTTTGGGGTCTAAATTTAATTAAGGTGTTAAGTGTAATAATTTTGGGTCTAAATGTAATAAAAATGTTCTAAGTGTAATAATTTTTGGGTCTAAATATAATAAGGTTCCTGAGTGTAACAATTTTTGGGGGTCTATACAAATCCTAATTGTGTAATAGTTTTTTGGTCTAAATGTAATAAAAATTTTCTAAGTGTAATAAGGGTCTAAATGTAATAATTAGGTCCTAAGTGTAATAATTTTGGGGTCTAAATGTAATAAAGGTTCTAAGTGTAATAATTTTGGGTCTAAATGTAATAAAAAGGTTCTAAGTGTAATAATTTTTGGGTCTAAATGTAGCTCCTAAGTGTAATAATTTTGGGGTCTAAATGTAAGAAAGGTTCTAAGTGTAATAATTTTGGTTCTAAATGTAATAAAAAGGTTCTAAGTGTAATAATTTTTAGGTCTAAATGTAATAAATGTCCCAAGTGTAATTGTTTTTTTTCAAATGCTATGAAAGTTATCCTAAGTGTAATAAATATAATTAAGTTTTCTAAATGTATCTATATTGATCATAAATAATATGGTCCTACAGTAAAAGCATCGTTGACAACGAAACATTTTCAAATGGGAATTTGATGTGAATGTACCTTCAGTATGTAATAGTTGTTGGCTCTAAATTTAATAAATGTCATTATTGTACCAGAGTATTTAATAACAACGGTAATAACAATTAATATTTATAATACTAACAAAATCGCTTTAATAAAATGAAAACAAGAACCTGGCAACGAAAAGAGCTGTTCTTAAAATTGGATAACAACCTGGCAATTAGTTATTTATAAACAACAAACATGGCGAGCTGGACCGTCATGAGTCGCTGGAATAAAACGTGTTTTTAGTAATGAAATGCTAAAAACCGGAGTTATTAGTTGCAGAACTGGATGAAAAACCATTATATAGGGTATCGTTAGTAGTGCACAGTAGGCGAAAATACTATTTTTGAAGATAGAAGTGTTACAGTACTAAAGTGCATTAGCGCCGCCTAGGCCTTAAATGGGCCTACCTAGGCCCAGTAGTAGTAGCCATACATGCCAACATTGGCAGACTCCCATTTTGGTGACCTGACTCCCTGCATTTTTTTTTTCACATGCGTGCCAGGTTTTCAAAGAAAATTGCATAGGCTAGGCCTAGAGCCTTAGGTAGTACTAGGGCCTAGTAGGGTACCCAGTAGCAGGTAAAAATGACAATAAACCAAAACGACAATGGTACCAAAACAACAACAGATCAAAACGACAATGACAAGTACCAAAACGACAATAAGCATAGACCAAAACTAGGTACCTGACAAGAAAATTCAAGCTTTATGAAACAGATTGACTCATTCATAAAAAAATTTAGAAAAATAAATGCAATTTAATGGTATAAAAATTGTGAAAATCCATCAACCCACTGATTTTCTATGATTTTTTATTAAAGTTAATTCATTTAATTAAAAAGTCGGAATAGGCATTTTAATGTTAAAAAAAAGAAAAGTGTGACGAATATGTTAAAATTTGTCCTAACCTTAGATCTTAACATAGAGAAAATAGAACAGAAGGAGTAACATCGACTTCATCGCTTATCTTTAATCCAATTAAACAGTCAGCTAGTGCCTATTAAATTGCACTACGGCCACCCGCGGAGCTTATCACAGCACTATCTCTTTGTACACACAGCTCCTCGCCGCTTAAGTGTAAACCCCTATAGACGCTCTGGCGTTAGTGGAGTACTTAATACACAAACATTTAAACATTAGAATTAAAAAACACATGCGCAGTTCATCATCCACGGTTTGTTTGTGTGCGTGTTTGGTATATTCAGACAGATTTTTTTTCGGCGAGAAAATGCATACTTTAAACGTCAAAATCGGCTTAAAATAACTGTTTCCCAGGTCTAAATTCCAGTTGGGACCAGTTGGAAATGCCAACTGGTCCAACTGGTTTCCAACTGGTCTAACTGGTTTCCAAATGGTCCAACTGCAATTTCAACTGGTACAACTGGAATTTCAACTGGTACAGCTGGTCTTCATAACTGGGTTTAACTGGTCCAATGGTCTATCCAACTGGTTGAACTGGTCCAACTGGTTTTACCAACTGGTTGAACTGGTCCAACTGGTCTACCCAATAGGTCCAGTTGGTTCAACTAGTCTACCCAATAGGTCCAACTGGTTTTACCCAGTTTGGTTACAACTGATCATACAAGTTTAAACTGCTAATTAGTCTACTTAATTCATTTATTATTTAACTTGTTTAGAATCTGCCTAGGCCTAGTAGTAGAAAATTGTTTTATCTTAGACGAAAGCGGCTTTTCCCTTACGAAAATGACCAATTCATTTCAATTGGAAATTGAACTGGATTCAATATGATGGATAATTAACTTTTGATTAAAAAAAAAAAAAAATTAAACTGCTAGTATCTTACTTATCTTAGCTACATCTGTCTCATCAATTGGATAACAAATGTCCATAGGATTTTTTTTCTTATAAATCCATTTGGAATCAATCGGATGACAATTGACCAATTAGAAATTGGAAAAATCCAATTGGACAATTAATTTCCAATTGGAATTTAAAAAAAAAATCCAATTTGATAACAAATACCAATTGAACTACAAAAACAAATCCAATTGGAACAACAGATTTTCAATTGGATTATAAATATCCAATTGGATTTTTTACTTATTCCAATTGGATAACAGATATCTCAAATTGGATTGCCTTTAAATTCCAATTGGATAAGAAATATACAATTGGATTGTCTTGAAATTCCAACTGGATAGCAAATATCCAATTGGGTTGTTTTTCATTCAGTTGGAAGAAAAATATATCTTGATTGGAATGTTTTTAAATTCCAATTGGATAACAATTATATTGGATAACAAATATCCAATTGGATTTTGTTAATTCCAATTGGGATTTATTTGACCAATCAGAATGCAGTATTAACAGGTTTCTTGACGACTGCTTCTTAATAAAAGTTATAAAGTTACAATGCGCCATTTTTGCACAATGGGTGAGAGCATTTGCAGGCTGCCCAGCTTTGAGTTGTTTTTGTTCATAAAAAGTAAGTATTCTATCAACTTTGTGTTCAAATTCCTAAACAATAATAAGCCTAGGTCCTTTATTAGACTTTTTTGAAATGAATATTGGCTTAGATTAATTAGAAACTGAAATTAAAAATCGAACATTGCCAGCCAAATGCCAGTCGCCTGAGGGGCCTAGAATAGTGCAGCGTATAGCCTTCTTATAGGCATGAAGGGCATCTTGCTATGGATGGGTAGGTGGGGCTACCTAGGCCTTGCCTACAACGTGCCATATCGTAGGCATGTGCCTAGCCAAGGCTAGGCTTGCACAACCTAACAAAAGGGTAATGATTAGGCCTAAGCCTAGGTCAGGCGTAGGCCTAGTTCAGATTATTTCATATTTGTTTTAATTTTTTTAAATTTATATACATTTTTTTTATTTAGGCCTAGGCCTAAGTTTTTTTGGATTAGCTATATATAAAAGCCTAACCTAGCTAGGCCAGGAGGGGGGCTATCTTTTTGTAGTACTACTAAGGGATAGGCTAGTAGAGTAGCACTGAGCTGTAGTAGTAGTCCTAGGCCCGGCCTAGAGGCTTATTTTAAGCCTATTCTGTGATGATAGAGCCCAAGCCTAGCATAGGGTGAGCTACTTACAGGCCTAAGCATAGCCTAGCTAGGGCTAGTTTTAGTCTAGTCCTAGCCCTAGATAAAGGCATGAGACATAGTACTGTTTAATTAATAATTGTTGATAATTAATTAATGATTACTATATCATCAGTCTATAGCACTAATCTCTAGGTCTATATTGTTTTTGATTGTTTTTTAACAGGATTAACTGAATTTGAAGCAAGGCTCTGCGAGTATCTGATGTCAGGTATTTTCTGTTTTGAACTCTAAATTCAAACTGAACGTTAAATTTACACTTCAACTTTCCAACAAGTTTCAAGGCTATAGAAATTGCAATTTGTATTTTTGATATCGACCACTCCAATAATGAATTGTTCGCCAAAAATATGTGCACTTCAAGCCGTCGACCAGGAAAAGAATATTAAAAAAGGGTGAGTTGGATAATTAAATATGCATGTAGGGGCTCTTACCTCACTCAGGCCATTCAAATGTGGTGTATAAGAGACAGGGCCTAGTAGTAGAAAATTGTTTTATCTT